ATTGGGTTTAACGTCGTGCTTGAGAATATTTCGCTCATATGACGACGTGCATGCGTGTGTATGTGTATGTGCGGCTGCTTGTACTAGCCCAGACTGAAGCTGGTTTTATAGTGCTAGCCCACTGAGATAACTACATAAAAGGATAGTAATAGGGTAGGGTATATAAATATATACCTATATGTCTTTCTAACGCTGCTTCTAAGCGAGACACGCCCCTATGATATCTTGTCTGTGTCACAGTCCCGGAACCATTTTATCTTCTTTCCGCCAAACCTTTTCTGCAATGCGAAATTCCGAAATGAAGCAAGTCGAGATTTCCGAGCACACTGTGGCTCCTCTTCAACATAAATACAGTTATTTGTTTCTATCAAAATTATATATTTTCAGGGACAAATCGTCACTCTACCCGACCCCTACTTCCAGCGTATTCCCGGCACCCATCATGCTCTTCACATCACACGCGTGAGCAGTATTCTGATTATCGACTGGTATTGTCTTGTATTGAGTGTGGAGCTAGCTTACCAATAGTTGGCGCAGCTATCAACTTACACGGGCGACATGGCGCGATATTGTATTATGTTGTTTACAATTCACCGTCCATATATGTACGATAATTATGTCCCATTCTGTATTTAAGATCGGCTATTCATTTGGAGTGTACGGGAAGGTCACGTGGCTTTGTCTGCGACAGGCGACAGAAATCGCCGTCAACAGCCGGATGCTGCTGCTGCTGAGATAATCGCAATGCATGTTTACGGAGGACTAATGAGTTAAGCATTTGTATGGTAGTGAGTAAAATATGAAGGGCCTGTGTCCAGATCAATAACCTCGGTGTATTACAGACTGCCGTACATGCTTTTCTCTGAATAGGATATCGTTAGGCTGTATTTGTAGTGAGTGAATTAGGTTAAAAAGATCATCCAGGCATAGTTGCGCATCGACCCACGAACTATGAGAAACGATTGGTAGGCGATATTGTGTTGCGCTACACGATTTTTGCTTTTTTACGCGGCCCTGTAACTAGGCTACAGTTGAAAGCACGAACATGGTTGGCTGGTTGGTTTGTTTAAAGCCACACTCAGGAATAATCCATCTATACTACTCACACATTGCTAAGGATCACAAAAAAATTTACTTAAACGTAGATATATCATTTGAAATTGTATCCATTTAAAACGGGATCAATAATAATATGGTAACCCCTCTTTAGGCAAACAGCCACTTTAATCTAACCTTATGCACTTGATACATGAATAATCATAAAAAAATGGTTTTCATGGCGCCAATCAACCATTTTGCAAATCATGGAACGAATCATTGACAAATAAACAACACATGTCAATAGGGATCAACAACATGCAATGACATACTGAAACCTAGGATCCATGCTTATAATAAGCTTAGGTATTTAAACCAAATTTGACCCCACATAAAAGTTTTCTGTTGAATCAATGATTTGATCCTTATCAAAGTGTGAATAGTATATATGGCAGCGGTTTGTAAATAATCGAGTCTGGACCAGACAATCCAGTCATCAACAGCATGAGCATCTATAGGCAGTTGGGATACGATGAAATGTGTAAACCAAAATTAGCGAGCCTGACCATCGTTAGTCGTCTTTTATGCACAGCATGAACATGGGCTCACGACGTTGCGCTGTGATCTCTTGAACAAGCGTGAGGAAAGTGTTCATTGTCTAGTGGGTAGAGCGTCCGCGCAGACAGCAAACTAGGATGAGTGAGTGATTTGAGTTTTACGCCTCACTCAACAATATTCCAGCTCTATGGCGGCGGTCTGTCAATAATCAAGTCTGGACCAGACAATCCAGTGATCAACAGCATGAGCATCGATCTACGCAACTGGGAACCGATGACATGTGTCAACCAAGTCAGCAAGCCTGACCACCCGATCCCGTTAGTCGCCTCTTACGACAAGCATGGGTTACTGAAGGCCAATATTCTAACCCGGACCTTCACGGGTCCGGGAACTAGAAGGTTGGGTCTGTGGGTCTACATAGTTGGGTGTGTTATGTGGCAGTGTTGCCTATTGTGTAACAATGCCAAGTGTAAACATGTGCAGTTCCTGTTGATATACAGTAGGGGTCAGTGGTGTGTACTCTTAATTTAGATTTGTGCTATATTTAGACAGTTTTGGAAGGTTCTTCAACCCTATGGGTCTTTCCACTATATTCTCACCCAGTGAGTTGTAGAATCTTCTTCAGGCTTTTTCCAAGATTGCGCTTGCTCATGTCCCTCGTTACATAACACCTCACTGACTGACTGACTGAGTTTAGCTTTACGCCGCTTTTAGCAATATTCCAGCAATATCACGGCGGGGGACACCAGAAAATGGGCTTAACACATTGTGCCCATGTGGGGAATCGAACCCGGGTCTTCGGCGTGACGAGCCAACGCTTTAACCACTAGGCTACCCCACTGCCCCACATAACACCTCAAGCTGCAAGAAAACAATCAATTGTGTGGAAATAATTCTTTCCCTGGATACTGAGGGTAGGTCGATTTTGGAAACTTGTCCATTGTTGCGGTGACTTGAATATTACCAACTCTGTCTCTATTGTATCGCATTGCCTTTAAATTTTTACTCACTCTGTAATACCTTTGTAGTGATTTGTATTTTTGTAACTTTGTAAATTCAGAATACAATATTGTGAATGATATCACATCGCTTTTTTCTTTGCTGATTACACAAAGTTCTTTTACGGACGGACTCTCGGTGAACTTTTCGTTTCAATCTGGGATTCAACAGGCAACAGTCTTTCCGAAAGACGTTTAAAACGATTTAACTTGTTACCCTGCCGGCATTATGGAGATGAAACAAGAATTGTTCGGCTCGGGGTTAAAATACTGTGATGGTAGTGCCCCCATGTTAATCTATATTTGTATTACTGTTATATTTTGCCTGAAAACTGTGTTGTATAGTTCTGTATATTTATCAATGTGTATAAATTATGTGACAGCATCGGTGGTGTAATAACGATTACATGCACTTCAGTTCTGGCGACATTTATCCTTCATCCAGGTCTCCGACCGCCTCCGTGGTGTAGGGGTTAGAGCGTAAGCCCGGAGAGCGGAAGGTCGCGGGTTCGATCCCCGACCGCGTCATACCAAAAGACGTTAACAAAGTGGCGCTCGGCATTAATACAACAAGTAATGGTCGGCCCGAGTCAGTATAATGTGTCTGAGTGGGGTATTCATGCTTCACTGCAGCATTGTATCTCCGTGGGCTAGCACTATAAAACCAGCTTAAGTCTGGGCTAGTACAAGCAGCCGCACATACACATAAACACACGCATGCACGTCGTCATATGAGCGAAATATTCTCAAGCACGACGGAAAACCCAATTTCACCTCACCTCACCTCATCCAGGACTCCACATGGAGACGAGCCTATTGACACGCTGCGACCAAAGTGAATGATCGTAATGTCCCCAACATGACGCCCTGTGACGAGATAGTCAATAGTGTATACTGGATTGGCACGGCGACCCTTTTCAACCCCATGACTTCAGTGCGTTGTGAAATATTCCTGGGGTAGATTTTGCCATTCTCGGTTTCAACGCTAGAATCAGGTCCTGAAAACACTGGTGGGTCCAACTTGTCCGATTGTCTAGGTCCATGGCGGGAAAAGCGATGGTCATGATGGCGGACTGTTAGAGGAAGTGCGTTACGTCTCGTGAACGGCCATACTCGTCCATGCAGATGGGAAAAGTATTCAGGGTCGTTATCTAACTGTGGTTCATCGATATAGGATCCATAATTTGAAGCTTGTATCTCGGATCCCTAAGATTCAAATTTACAGTGACCATGTCCATCTTACAGTGTTGGACCGGCAGGCAAGCAACACAACATGACTTCCCCTCCTTCAGTGGAGGCTGTGTGAAGAATGTTCCTGGCAAGTGTTTGACGCAAGTCTTTGCAGCCGGACTCCCGTCTGTGACACGCAACAAGAAGCTGCTCTCTCATCAGTGTCCTTTCCTCCGCGTCCCCACTTTTTACCAAACACCATTGCAACCAGGCATAAGAAGACGATCTGACAGCATTGGATGAGTTATGACACTGCCTAAAACAACCTGCTGATTCACATCGATTGCTAAATGTCTGTATCGTTTTGAGCATCCAGTTCTTCATAAATGAGAATGCTCAGCAAGATTGCAGCTGTACGAGGTTCCCGAAAAGAATCAAATCTGTATGACACAATCCAGTGATATTGAAATGAGAACTGACTTATACATTGACATGAATCATCCAAGCAAGTACCCGTGAAGGTCCGGGTTAGAATTGATCTCCAGCATCCCATGCTTGTCGTAAGAGGCGACTAACGGGATCGGGTGGTCAGGCTCGCTGACTCGGTTGACACGTCATCGATTCCCAATTGCGCAGATCGATGCTCATGCTGTTGATCACTGGATTGTCTGGTCCAGACTCGATTATTGACAGACTGCCGACATATAGCTGGAATATTGCTGAATGCGGTGTAAAACTAAAATCACTCACTCCAAGCAAGTCTAACCACATAAATGGGCACTACCAGATTACCTGCAATGGTAAACATTAATTCAAGAGCAGGAACTGATCAAGGATATTGCCAAACAAGCGGTTCGACTGTAATACCATAGAAAATAGAGGGCTCAGTTGAATGTAAGGTTCCTCTTCTCAAAGTGCCATTGTCCACCCAATTCAGTTTGTCTATGTTCAATGTGTACTGCAAGCAAGCAGAATTTCAGTCACTCTCCAAACTGTTCAGGGTTTCTTTTGATATATATCATTAATTTCAACCATTTGGCATACTGTTGACTGCTGTATTGCAGTGTTCACATACTGGTTCCCCAAGACAGCTCCCACAGATGCAGAAACCCTTTCAGCTCAGCATCCAACAGGTGTGGCGTTTACAATGCTGCTACTCCATCTTGGATACACAGAAGCAGCACATCATCATAAACAGTATATTTATTGATATCAAAATAATCTGAGCAGAACGGATTAAGATGGAAATCTACAGCAGTTTATTGCCATACTTGTGATCATGAAAATTTACATCATTAGAAATAAAACAGTGGCAGAGCATTCGTCAAGTTATGTGGACAAGCATCTGTACATTTGTCCTTACGTTTATGCAGCAAAAGCGCAATCTAAGGTATCTAAGTTAACAAGCAAAGTTAGTTAACAGCAATAGTCACTTTTGGGATATCGTCTAATGATATATTTTAAGCTGACTGAACATGTTCCACACAGTAATACCTGAACATGTATATCAATCACTACTTAACAAAAAAATCCAAACAATGGTTTACACTCAGAATTATCATTTGTCTTATGGGAGAAAGTCACACTGAAATAATCAAATTTGATATTAGGATTTTCAAGGATAAAATGCCTTTGTAATAATTCTGAATGGTAACAGGTTTCCTTCTTCTCAAACTAGTATGTCCCAATGCTGGTTTTTAAACCATAGTGGCAACATTTATGACACAGAAAATTGCAGTCCGCCATCTTCTGATACTCTTGGTGAGTTCTTACAAACATGAGACGCCACAAACCATTAACCCCTCACATTAATTACCTCGATTTTCTCTATTCCTTCTGTTGCCACTAAATGAGAAGCATAACCAAAAATTCTTGTCTGTAACTTAACACAGAAAATGAGCACCAAGAAAAATCGCTGTGATGATCAATGACCTTGATAATGAAGTCTAAGGTTACATGAGCACGTTTGTGATCACAAGATATGGATAATGAACAAAGCCATTACAAATAGTGACACAATTCACTGCTCCATTAAACTCCAATCCTGAAAAATAGTGTAAACATTCAATTGTAGCTTGTTTGTTCCCTGTGGGATAACAATGTTGCATGAGAGGATGATATGATGACGTTCTGGAACTTATGTTCCACCATGTTCATACCAAAACCTTTCACTCACTGTTCAATGCTCACTGCCTGTCTCAGAAACTGTTACTCAAGCACTTATTCCAGGTGCACTTCTGTTTGGCCTCATTTGACAAATAATTTCCAGATACATTAACCCCAGTTTACAAGGAAAAAGGAGGGAAAGTCAAAATAAACTTTTAAACTATAAATAACAATTAAAAGATAACATTGTTTAAAAAACCTCCATGTACTTTATTAGTTTCAGTTTGAAAATTCTATAGGGTGAGTATGGTTTTATGCCGCTTTTAGCAATATTCCAGCAATATTACGGCTAATAATTCTATAGAAGAGTTGTTGTCATCGGTAAAAATGAAAATGAAAAACCTGTAAATCAAGTCTTAATGAGGCCTTACCATCCAGAAACAATGGGCATGCTGCAAAGTAAAGTGCCAAGAAGCAAATGAAACATTAGCATAAACATGCATCTGTAGCATGATAAGAGATCACTTCTGATGAGCGTCCACTTCCACACTGACCATGTCCACTCCCTGGTCCAAGCTCCACACATCCACATCCTCTACAGCGGCACACTGTTTCAACCTAAGACACAACTGCCCCAGCTGCCCTATTACAATTATCACATGACATCTTTCAGACAATTTCATTGCAACCAGTTGAAAGACTGAACTGCTGAGTTCCAAGGAGACCTACAATTAACAAATCCTAACACCAAAACACTTTCAATACCCTTTCACAAACAAACAAGTAATCTTTTTGATTTTCAATGGAATGATCCTTTGAAAAGTTAATAAAACTATTATTGTCTAAAACCATTGACCAAACAAACAGAGGATTATCATGAAAAGTCTTTTGAGTAATTCTTACTAAACAGCTACAAAATCAAAAACACTTTCTAATTTGGAAAACGAGTCATTTAAATTTAGTCAGAATATGAAGTTCCACCTCCATGAACTGTCTAAGTACAAAGATTTCAATGATCATCATCTAGCTTCTATCTGTCCCTGTAAAGTATGGTAAGCACATCTAAGCGTCATAGGTACACAATTTCATACAAGGCAAGAATACTAAGCAAAATGTCATATATGAACACATTAAACAGGCAACCAGTCCTGACGTGCTGAGGTATCAACTGTCTCATATGCATTCAAATAACATGCCTATGCATGAAAAACAAAGCAGAACAAAACAATAAGCGACATCTAACTGTTTACACTGTGGCACATAGGAAGTAACAGGATGGTTGGCATTGGGTTTTCCCAAATAGCAGTCCCTGTGGTATGCTGTTCCCCACGACCGTGTCTAAATTGGAAACATTCGTATTTGGATAACAAATTGAGGTATCAACAAAACTTGAAGACAATTTTGATCAGTAGCATTGTAGATCAGTAGCTGTTTCTTATGGTGTAAAGCGGAGAGGAATAAATGATTTTACACTAATTGTCCTTTGGAGGCAATGTTTTTGGTCAACATACATCTATGAAGCCATAACACAAGGAAATTTGAATGTCTTATCTGGGAATTTTACAGACACTTACTGGAGGCATTGGGCGAATAACGGCCTTGGAGCAGGTCTAGATAAATCCCTGAAATATCAGTAAATTGTATTTAAACTAAAACCCATACACAGCTATCAGCTAAAACTAAGGCTTGCCTAACAGGGATTTCATTTAACTCATCATGGGGTTTGATCAGGATGTAAGAGAAACTGCTGAAAACTACCAATATTGACTAACTTTAGAAAAAGTGTTAATATAAAATACAAGGAGTTATAAATAAGTATATATATGATAAACAATGGCTGAATCAAAGTGAAAGGAGTTTGATCTTTTTTTACTTTTAATAGATGTCTCAAAATTACATTTACTTTAATAGAACTATTTGAATGAGAGATATTTACAATCATGGAAGAATCTGTGTGAATCTGATACAGTACTGGGTGCTATTAGCACTAATGATGAAAGGCACTTGGAAACAAAATCAGAGTGAAGTAGTTGTAAAATCATAGTGAACAAACAAGTGAAAATGACACAATGTGCAAGAACAAAGGGAAAAACAAAAACAGAGCATTAATAACATGTGCACATTGGCAACTTCGTATCAGGAACTAAAGATTAGCAGAGAAGCGTCAAGTTACCCTCTTGCATAGACATTGACACTGTCGTGTGGAATCTCTGTCAAATATGCTGCCATACACACAACTGGGTAGTAGATATTATGAAAGGTGACCTTCTCGAACGTGGCAATATGGCTACACATGCAGTTGAGGCTGCTACAGGAATGATCAAACTCATATTGTATCACTAAAACACTATAAATAAAACGACAAACAAAACAAACCTTTTTTGGAAGGTATTGAATATGTGCTGTCAGTTTTCAAAACAGGACCAAATTAATCATACCTTACTTGTTCAAACATTCTTAGATGAAATTCAATACCTGAATTTCACTCCAAATTTTTTCATTACTTTTCCCACGCGCCAAATTCGTCACTTATCAAACACGTTTGTGTGTTCTGAAATTAACCATGACCTCAAACTGAGCATTGCTAGGAGTATAATTTGGACACTGTTGTTAGTGGTCACTTGTATCCTAAAGTGATATGAAGTGATGGATGAAATCTAAGGATGACATCTCTAATCGATTTCGATATACCAGAGTACAACATACGGGTTATATCACACACAAACTATAAACATGCACCTTGTATATCTAGCATGTGAGACTTGACTGCGAACAGCACTGCACAGAACTGTCAAGATAAAAGTGAAATGGAAAGACAAAACTTGGGTTGCTGAATCAAACACTAAGTCTGTTGCAGCAAATATTGCAGGCTGCTCACTGACATGTCTGAGGCACCGGAGTTCTGTACGGAACAAAATCAAACGATAGCTTTTATTTAGGTCTAACCTCAAAGCCTCCTCTTAAAAATAATATTTGAAGATTCAAGATTAATCATTAAAATATATCTTAATATGACAAAAATATCTTTTTTTGTTTGAAGCTCAAAGTACCAGGGGAGATAATCAATGGTATGTACAGAGTTACTTCCCCTGGCACCCTTGTGATACAACACAAAGTGAGTGGTTGTTGTCCTCCAATGAAGAGTGTAAGCAGTGACAGTTGGTACATATGCTGATCTAATCAGTCAATATTTAAACACTGTGTGTCCATTATTGAGTACAAGTTAATGGAAAGATTGACCGCAGGTCAATATATGATAAAATAGGCAATGAAGGACCTCGAGAAGCAACTGATTTTTCACCTAAACATGAAAAGACGAATCCATATTAATTTCAACTGTTCCAATCCCATTCACAGATCAATACACAAACATGACAACTGGTCAAATATGTCATTGAACCTCGAAAATTATACAATCAAATGTATAACATTGTTCAGAAAGTAGATGTGAAGTGTCTCAGACTTTCAACACATTCATTTAGCATTTCAGTTTTAATTAACAAATTACCTCAACATGAAACATGGTCAAACATGTTGACAAAAGAATTTCAAACAAATACACACTGAAATGTGTAAAACGTTTGAAGAAGTTAACACAAGAGTTCATGTTTAGAGTGCATCCACCAGTTGTGGCGAGTGTCCTCTTGGCCAGTTTTGGAAGAAGCTGTGTTATGCTGCTGCTGCTGATGCTGCTGCTAGTTAATCATCCTTGACCTCCTCCTCACTTGTCTGCGTCTCCAGTGCCCCAATCCGAGTTTCAAGCCCACAAATAAGCTTCTCCTGACTCTTCACAGTTGCTTTCAGCTGTTTTAACTCTTCCATAACTTCTTTGGGGTCAAATCCTTCGGGGCAAACTCTGTAAAAAAATGTTTTCAATGATTATCAAAAACAGTTTTAAAAAAATCATACCCATTTATGATCTGTATTTAGATATGTGTTTTAAGGAAGGTGATGCTTATTACTGTATCTGTGGTGAATGATGAAAACTCAAGTTTCCTTGTTAACAGTTACCGGGCTTGTTGCCATCATTTGATGAAGTAAGTATGACCCAAAACCAAGCAACTTTAGCATGCTAAGCATGTGATAGCCTTTACCGTACATTTACATTAGTAATACAAAAGAATGGATTAAATAACTTCTACTTGAAGTAAGGAAACCACTTACAAAAACTCTGGTTCTATGGAGCATCAATAAAGCCATAAAGAATTACCAGTAACAGACTCATCGCTGTTCAAAGACTATGTATTTCTAACTTTTGAACATATTTCTTTGGATGTTTACCAAATATTCAACAGAAAAAAAAAACCCTCAATAAATATAAACCAAACAATAAAGTATGTCTGAACATAACATTTCGAGAAAAAATAAATAAATAAAAAAATTCATTTATAAAGTCATAATCAAAGTAATAAAAACATCATTTTGTTCTTCATGACATGCAAAACCTCAACAACAAAGGCTTCCTTTTTGACAAATGTTCATGCAAGACTGAACGAAAATATAAAAACATGCCACAATGTGATATATATAAACTCTTATCTGGTTTCTACTTGTAACAAACACTTGAATGTCATGAGCACTTACAACAATGTGATAAGAAATTCAACTCTACCAAATCATATCATGCCAGCATTAAGTGTTTCAGTAAACATCAGTTCTAAGCTATTACAATACTTTACATTTAAAACAAAAATGTTTTAATTGATATCACCAAACACAAGACAGTTTCCCATACTTCAATTAAACTCATTAGATACACTCAGCTAAATTAAAACGAACAGTGCTAAATACGAAGCCTTGCATTGAGTGACCAATACTCTTTCTGAAAAAAAATAAAATTAGTGAACATTTGGGTGAAGCTATTGCAATGTTTAAGCCATTGACTTGTTGAGTTGAGTTGTCGGTTCAGTGGTGGTAGAAATCATTCATCCTTTATTGAAGTGTAGCTAATGTCCACCAAGGTTACATGACTGGTATGCTTCTTGTCTTGTTGGAAGAAAAATGTCCTCAAGAGTTGCTATAGTAACTGGTGAGTTTTCAACAGAGTCAGCTGCCTTTAAATCACTCAACTAATCTTGGAATAAATCAGCCAAACTGAGACTAATATTGGTAATAACAAAATGCAACACTTTTACCAACCTTTACTTGAAACCAAATTTCATCATTCTTACATTTTCCCAAAACTCTTGTCCACTGATGTTTGGCCCCAAAATACCTCAGTATTTAACCATAAGATTACACGAAACTAAATTTCAACTAAATTTCCTTACATGCATCATTCTGGGATGATAATTCATAAAGCCAGAGGGTACAGCTTTAAGCTTTCAGTAATATACCAGCAATATCTAAGGGACACCAAAAATGGACTTCACACATTGTACCCAGAGAGAGAATCAAACTCAGGTTTTAGGTGAACACTCTAACAACTAGGATACCCATGAAAGGAACTAGGTGAAAACTAGGGTTTTAATGTACATAACAGGGACATTCAAAGACAATTTCAGCAAACTCAAAGTGCCACCATCCACCAATTTCTTCCTATGAACGCCTAGGTACTGTGAAGAAGTGCAAAGGAACAAAGTTTAACCATCACACTACGAAGGAAGAGGTGTACAAAAGGAAATTACAATGACACAGCAGCAGGAGATGGAATCACTGCATGAAAAGATTTGCAGTGGGTACAGGTGTACCCAGTAGAGTTACAGATCACACGGATCACACAGATCACATCCAGTCCTAACCAGAAACAAAACCAGATATCATGCATTAAGGAAGTCAATGAACGTATCAGTCACGAAATCATCCAAATAATTTATTTGGTTGTTTTCCCTACATTGAGATTCCACGCAGTACTGGGAGGATATTGGTTTTAAAAGCGTACATCCCAACACCATGTGGCTGCAAAGCAAAGGAACCCTCAACTGACATATGATGCCATGGAAAACAGTTCCAAGTTGCTGTCCTTCAAGCAGAGCATACCCAACCAAGCAGCTGACCAACACACAAACCCAAACATGCAGAATTCAAACATACCCAGGAACAAACAAAGCACAAAATCAAACAAACAAACATATGATGAAAGCAAACAGAACCTCTGAAGTCCAAGCACTCTCAAAATATCAAAATTAATTAAAATGTGAGACTGCAGCTAAGTCCAAAGAAGGATTTAGAATGGAATTGCTTTCAAAATCATTTACTGACTTTGCAAAACTATAACAGAGAAGCGAACAAAAAGAAAAGTTAGCAGGAAACCAAAAACTCCTCCAGCTCCTGGGATGCTTTGACTGTCTGATTGCCTGACTGACTGGCCAGTTCCTCTACAACAATCCAGGTGATCGACAGTGAAAGAAACAAGGGCACCAAAGAGGCACATCTATAAAGAAGCCTGGAGGATTGTGAAGTAGGACTGCTGTTATCTTGCAAACACTGGACAAGAGTGCCCCTAGTTGCCTGGGTCTCTGTAGCTCACTTCATATCTGTAGGCTTTCTACATCAATGTGGTATCACTATTGCCAAGCAGTGAATTTGGTGTCTGTTGCCAACTTCCTTTTAGGGTTTCAGATGTGTCTTACACAGCCTTAATCAGTATTCTGCATCTTAACCTGACATTTATTTGGCCATACAAAGACAAGTCAAAAGCCTGAAATTCTACTTGCCTGCACAATACTTTTAGCATTAGACAAATTGACTTGGCCAACAAGTTGTACATTGGCTTTATGTCAAAGGGAACTCCAAGTGATTCAGGCCTCAGGTGCTTACCACTAAGGTGAAGCACAAATTGGTGCTGACAACCCTACAACCATTATCAAAGCAAATCTAGGGATTGGAACCTACAACCATTATCAAAGCAAATCTAGTGACTGTAACCTACAATCACTATCAGATCTAGGGATTAGAACCTACTATCATTATCAGAGCAAATCTAGGGCTTGGAGCCTACAGTCACTATCAGAGCAAATGTAGGGACTGGAACCACTATCAGAGCAAATGTAGGGATTGGAGCCTACAGTCACTATCAGATCTAGGGATTAGAACCTACTATCATTATCAGAGCAAATCTAGGGCTTGGAGCCTACAGTCACTATCAGAGCAAATGTAGGGACTGGAACCTACAATCACTATCAGATCCAGGGATTAGAACCTACTATCATTATCAGAGCAAATCTAGGGCTTGGAGCCTATAGTCACTATCAGATCTAGGGATTAGAACCTACTATCATTATCAGAGCAAATCTAGGGCTTGGAGCCTATAGTCACTATCAGAGCAAATGCAGGGACTGGAACCTACAATCACTATCAGATCCAGGGATTAGAACCTACAATCACTATCAGATCCAGGGATTAGAACCTACTATCATTATCAGAGCAAATCTAGTGATTGTAACCTACAATCACTATCAGATCTAGGGATTGGAACCTACAGCCACTATCAGAGCAAATCTAGGGATTGGAACCTACAGTCACTATCAGAGCATATCTAGGGTTTAGAACCTACAATCACTATCAGAGCAAATCTAGGGCTTGGAGCCTACGGTCACTATCAGAGCAAATGTAGGGACTGGAACCTACAGTCACTATCAGAGCAAATCTAGGCATTGTAACCTTCAATCACTATCAGATCTAGGGATTGGAACCTACAGTCACTATCAAGAGAGAAATCTAGGGATTGGAACCTCCAGGGATTAGAACCTACAATCACTATCAGAACCCATCATTATCAGAGCAAATCTAGTGATTGTAACCTACAATCACTATCAGATCTAGGGATTGGAACCTACAGCCACTATCAGAGCAAATCTAGGGATTGGAACCTACAGTCACTATCAGAGCATATCTAGGGTTTAGAACCTACAATCACTATCAGAGCAAATCTAGGGCTTGGACCCTACGGTCACTATCAGAGCAAATGTAGGGACTGGAACCTACAGTCACTATAAGAGCAAATCTAGGCATTGTAACCTACAATCACTATCAGATCTAGGGATTGGAACCTACAGTCACTATCAGAGCAAATCTAGGGATTGGAACCTACAGTCACTATCAGAGGATAATCTAGGGTTTGGAACCTACAGTCACTATCAGTAGGGCTGGAGCATATCTAGGGTTTGGAACCTACAATCACTATCAGAGCAAATCTAGGGCTTGGAGCCTACAGTCACTATCAGAGCAAATGTAGGGACTGGAACCTACAATCACTATCAGATCCAGGGATTAGAACCTACTATCATTATCAGAGCAAATCTAGTGATTGTAACCTACAATCACTATCAGATCTAGGGATTGGAACCTACAATCACTATCAGAGCAAATCTAGGGATTGGAACCTACAGCCACTATCAGAGCAAATCTAGGGATTGGACTGACTGACTGACTGAGTTTAGTTTTACGCCGCTTTTAGCAATATTCCAGCAATATCACGGCGGGGGACACCAGAAATGGGCTTAACACATTGTGCCCATGTGGGGAATCGAACCCAGGTCTTCGGCGTGACGAGCCAACGCTTTAACCACTAGGATACCCCACCGCCCCCTAGGGTTTGGAACCTACAATCACTATCAGAGCAAATCTAGGGATTGGAACCTACAGTCACTATCAGAGCAAATCTAGGGATTGGAACCTACAGTCACTATCAGAGCATATCTAGGGATTGGAACCTACAGTCACTATCAGAGCAAATCTAGGGATTGGAACCTACAGTCACTATCAGAGCAAATCTAGGGATTGGAACCTACAGTCACTATCAGAGCAAATCTAGGACCAGACAATTGATCAACAGCAACCTACAGTCACTATCAGAGCAAATCTAGGGTTTGGAACCTACAGTCTATCAGAGCAAATCTAGGGATTGGAACCTACAGTCACTACGAGATCTAAGGTTTGGAACCTAGTCACTATGAGATCTAGGGTTTGGAACCTACAATCACTATCAGAGCAAATCTAGGCATTGGAACCTACAGTCACTATGAGATCTAGGGATTGGAACCTACAGTCACTATGAGATCTAGGGATTGGAACCTACAATCACTATCAGAGCAAATCTAGGTATTGGAACCTACAGTCACTATGAGATCTAGGGATTGGAACCTACAGTCACTATGAGATCTAGGGTTTGGAACCTACAGTCACTATAAGATCTAGGGTTTGGAACCTACAATCATTATCAGAGCAAATCTTGGGATTTGAATCTACAATCATCAGATTCAGGGACACCTAAGAGATGCAATTTCACAACAAATTGCCCTGGCTATGCCCACTTGTGGATTCAAAGTGGGTGACTTGGGTTTAATGCTGCTCTGAACTATGTTCTAGTTATATTGTCTCATGCCAGCTAAAAGTGATTCTACCACTTCAGTGAAACCCATGAACATGGTTAGGGGTCTGACAAACTAGGAACATACTCAAGGCAAATGCATAATCAACCGTTCGTGGATTGCCAAAGGGAGGCAACTGCACTGCATTTTGTGGTGCCTCAAAACAATGGCGCCACCACGAACCTGGTAGATTAAGAGATTAGGTTGAGGTGTACGACAGACAAAAGACAACACACCATCACAAAAGCTCCCTTGAACCTCAGTTCAGGTTAGCACAGGATACCGTTCCCAGTTCAGTAGGATTAATGTCGAGTTACGCAACGATACAGCCATGCACATTCAACAAACGAGTAACACAAAAGAAAGCCATGAAACGGAACTTGCAATACAAAGTGAGAGGCTGAGACCGAAATACATTAAGCTTTTCCTTCATCCTCTTCCGACGTATTAACTTCATATTGGGACAGTTTCTCTTCTAGTGTTTTTATTCGTCGTTCATGAGCTTTCACTATCAGTTTGAGTTTGCGCATATCATCCAGAATGCCTTGGGGGTCAAATCCCTGTTCAGAGATAGAAACAAAATAAACACATGCACAAAAAATAAACAACCATAATCACCGAAGCGAAACCAATATTCCCACAAATCATCTAAGCCCTTTACTGGGAAATGTCTTGTGATGTCTCAATTTGGTACTAGTTTTACTGGGGATTTTTCAGCTTAAAATTGAATTCACTACACTCATAACAAAGTAAACAAAAATGCATTCAAAAAAATGCAGTCACTCAAAATGTACGACACAATATCCATGACACACTGAAAAATAATAAAAAAATTAACTGTACATGAACTTAATGTGTATATTGTACACTGGTATATAAACACACAGCCATGACGGCCTTGATGACATAATCACAGGTTAGATTGGTGAAGGTTTAAATATTTGTGAAGGTTAAAGGGTTGGTAAAAAGACAATACAATCCCTTAGTTGGTGAATAAAACATTATATGTCAATAAGCATGCATGAGAAAAACATCATTTAGATATCTTACTGATAATAGCATGTAAAATTACAATTCATTAAGTTCAGATGTCAGTGCCTGCTACTCCTAAAAATATAATTGTAGACATTCCACTATGTCAGAATGACCATCTGCGAACTTTGAGTGAGTCAGTGAGTTTAGCATTATGCCGCTTTTAGCAATATTCCAGCAATATCACGACAGGGAACACCAGAAATGGGCTTCACACATTGTACCCATGTAGGGAATCCGAAACCGGGTCTTCAGCGTGATGCTTTAACAACTAGGCTACCCCACTGCCCTCTGTGAACTTTGACTGACCCATGAAATGTCTGACATTACCCAATCAGAAAGCAGCTCTCTCAAGCTTCATGGCAATTGTCTTAAACTTTAGTTCCGTTATAGCTTACGCTTAGGAACATATACTGACTTACAAATTTCGAAAAAGGACAAATGAAAATTCTAGTGTCTAATACAATATTGAGACTCAAAGGGACAACAAATTTTTCTTCATCATAGGTGTAGTTGGTGATAAATAGGTGGGATAACAAACAGATTGTTACACGTCATATCTATATAAGCATGTTCGTTATAAATGTAGTTTACTGTAGATGTCTGAGATTGATTGGCACAATGAACCACAAGCTATGAAAAGTGTCTTTCATTTCAAATGTTTATCAAACTAAAGAAACAGATTGAGTGATGATTTTGACAGAATCAGCATCAGTCTGTACCTGCCGTCAGGAATGTTTAGTGTTACCAATTTGAGATCGCATGATTAGAAATTTAATTTAATTTGATTGGCCACTTACATGGCACTGAGCTTCACGCTGCAGGGACATGCTCTATGCACATACAACATGATGGCCATTATTACCCCGGATAACCCAAGCTGCCTGTGAGGCGCTAGAAGATTAATAGTTATATGACTTATACCACTGGGTACCCATTTTCTGCTAGGTAAACAGAGGCAATTTTGAACAAACTCACTAGCCTGAGGTGCGACCAGGTAGGTGCTTCATTATGGGACAGGTCAAAAGTCCTAGAAACTCTCAGGAGTCAATCTGCCAAACACAGTCACCACTCCAAGAACTCTCTATGGCCAACGCTTAGAAAACACCTTTAGAATCTCACTCATCACAAGTGATGCTCTGATAAAAGTTCATCCGGGCGTGGTCATCCAGACGTGACCATAATATAATGTCAAGTTATCTGTGTAGCAGTAGCAGGCATTTAGATCTGACTTTAAGAGACTGACATCCTGAAAACACACTTCTCCTTCACATTTAGGCCAATATTTACTTTACCCTACTCATCAGTCTTACTTACCTGGTTCTACAATGTACATATGCTAATCTAATAGTTACTGATGGACTAATCTTCATTATATCGTCTATAATGATGAACTCGAGCTGTGGATATATTGCTAAATCAACACTGTTATTGTAAGTTTTATCTATCTCAGAATGAGTAAATGAAGGACTGACTGTCATTAATGGTGATATAATATTTAAAGAATACAATGTGATACGGATAGGACAGGGAGTGTTACAAACCTTAGTATTAATGGTATCCATTAAATGAAACACTATCTGTCAATAATGGCACAATTTTAATATAACTTCTTCAGAATCATCACAAAAATAATTCATAGAAATATATCAAAACAGCACTCATGCTAATAAAAGAAAATTATTTTAATTTAAGACATACTTGAAACTTGTCATTTGTCTCAGTTTTTTTAATACCTTTTTCCACAGTTAACAAGTTTACCATATTCCATCGTTGACAATTTTACCTTATTCCATGATTAACAAATTTACCCTACAGTAGATTTAAATGTGCCCTGCATTGCAGTCAGTGCAAAGGAAATCTGGAGGCAATGGGTGAGGCATTTGGTTAGGCAAGGTTGTGAAGCGCTTCTTATTGAAAAGCTTAATCTTTTAATAATCGTATCTACCACATGTTCATCTGGAGGAGTAGACGTGGTAGAAGGTTTCTAAAAAATAAAGAATTAAATGAGTTCATTTCACTTTTCAAACAAACACTTGAGTATTTCCTGATTGGTTATCTGTGTATAAAGATATTAGTCCTCTGCTGAAACACAAGGTGAATGAAAACGTGGAATGCAATGAAACAGTTCATGAGGACTGGACACAGATGACCGGTCAACTCACCGGGGGAAGAACAGGGGCTGCTGCAGCTTCAGAGTTTGTTGACTGAGCCTGGGATGTTCTGGTGGGCATCTTGTCCAGAACATTGGACCTGCGCACCACCTTCAAGGCATCCTTTCTTGTTGGAACAAAGCCTCCTTTCAGGGACACCTGAAACACACCCATAAAGAAAGGTCTTAGTTGGAATAGAGAGGGAGTCTTCTGTCTTGCTGTCTGTCTGTCCTTATTGGGATCTGTTGCAGTTTTATAGTGCTTGCCAGAGATCCAATATGCTGTAGTATAGCAGTGTATAAAACATAGCCCGTCCCACCGTCCTTGACGGTATACTTTTGTGAAGGATGGTCTATTAAATAAGTAAGGCTGTCCTTCGGTCAGGGGAAATATTTGTAAAAATAAACTTAACTTGGTTTGAACTTTGTCTTATCTAATATTTTTTCATTGTTTTAGTTTTGGGGACTGGCTGTGTTTGTTCAGGACTGGTCACTTTTTTGGACAGCCAGTCCTTGGACAGCCTTATTTCAAAACAATTTTATACACTGAGTATAGGCATGGATACCCCTCTGTGACAAGATGTGCTGGCGAGGCCTACAGTCCTTGTTTTACCAAGCATCAGACTTGGTATCAACAAGAACAATCTTTCAACCTCTTTAGGTATGACTCAGACAAAGGATCAAAATAGTGACCCTCCAATCTCTGTGAGTAAGAGAGCTGGGTTTTATGCCGCTTTTAGCAATATTTCAGCAATATCACAGTGGGTGACACCAGAAATGGGATTCACACATTCCGATCTCTGTGTCTTACACCACAGGCTTTGATGGGGTCTCCAAGATTACAACAACCAGGTCAGAATGAAGTATTTTCCAAATTCTTGGTAGAACTTGACATTCAACTGAAATGAAAACATCACACGAGGGCAGAATACAAACTATATCAGCATTATCACCCTCACTGAGCGATCAGAATCAAGTATTTCCCAATTTCATGCAAGAAATGAGGATAAAAGTGAAACAGAAAACAGGACACCTAAGAAGACACTTTAACCACTAAGCTACCCCACTATAACTGTACACAGAGCATATATAATCATCTGTTAAACTACTTATGTTACTGAAGAACACTGTACCATAATAGGCTCTGCATCTTTGCCACCAAACCATTCCTCTGCTGATAAAGCAGGCGTGTCCGAAGGTGTGTCTGGGTACAAGTCATCCTGGAACAGCTCGGACTGCAGAAGAAAATAGTACTCATTATTTATCAAGACATCAGGATAAAATTTATGGTAATACATTTGCCAAAATCTGAAAATTCAACTGGAACATTTTTTAAAACCCAGATATATCCCTATAAAAAAGTAGGGAAAATACCAGTAATGAGCAGTACGTCATTAAAAAATATAGTCCCCTTCCACCAAATACCTAAGTACTAAAGCAGTAGACTCTTTCAGTTGTATGATATTAGATTAAGTTTGCAAGTCAACTTTATAACAATTTGACCTAAATCGATACCAACTCCAGTAACATTAAGCTCTTTTCTAGAGGAATGATGTCACCTGTTTAATGCATAATTCATGAAGCCCAGGTTTAACACTGAATGTCCTGTGCCTACTTGTCATTATAACAGGCTTTACTGCAATTATTCAGTTACATTACCTTTCTTGGTACTGTGAAGGGGGATGACTTCACAGAGACCACTGTTGTGTAGTTTGTATATCCTGACAAAACAAAACATTTCACATTATTGACTGAAATGGGCAATGATGATGGCAGAGCAATCACAACCAAGAAGTGTGTAGAAACCGTAACTAGTACTTAGTGGTGGTCCGATTAATTGAAATAATCGAAGATTGGTCGTAATGACTAGACGACCAAGCAATCGATCATAATTTCTCATAACCGAACACAAACAATTCTGGAACACTTGTTTTCATTAACAATATTTTTCACATTGTTGGTTTTGTCTGTTACATTTCGTAAGCACTACAAGCTCGTTTCAAGTCATGATTGAATTATCTTAAAGATTCCAAGAAATTTATGTTCCTAACATACTAGTCATCCTTTAAAGATGTGAAATTTTGCCAAAAAAAAAACCCAGAAGAACTACATTTTTTCCCCTTATTTTAATGCGCATTAACAAATTTCATAAATGACGCTAACCAATTATTTTCGATGATTGATTGGTAGTAATGAACCAATCATCAGTTATGAGATTTCAACCGATTCCCAACACTACTAGTACTTTAACATTACTTCCATTTGACTTAGTATGTGGATATGGACTAGCATAAGCTCTGCCTAGTTGACCATAAGAAATGGGTGAGTGAGTGAGTGAGTTTTGTTTTACGCCGCACTCAGCAGTATTACAGCTATATGGCGGCGGTCTGTAAATAATCGAGTCGGGACCAGACAATCCAGTGATCGACAGCATGAGCATCGATCTGCGCAATTGGGAACTGACGCCAAGTCAGTGAGCCTGACCACCCGATCCCGTTAGTCGTCTCTTACGACAAGCATGGGTTACTGAAGGCCAATATTTTAACCCGGACCTTCACAGGTTCATAAGAAATGGCTTTGAGTGAGTGATTGAGTTTTACACCGCACTCAGCAATATTCCAGCTATATGGCGGCAGTCTGCAAATACATGTCTGCACCAGACAACCCGGTGATCAACAGCATGAACATCGATGTACTCAATTGGGGTACGATGACGTGTGAACCAAGTCAGCGAGCCTGACCAGCCGATCCTGTTAGTCGCCTCTTACTACAAACTAGGGTTACTGAAGATCAATTCTAGCCCGGATCTTCACAGGTGAAATGGGTTTGAACTATTGGCTGGAATTGTTGACTACTGTTGGAAAGCAACAAGTTGACAAACAATCATAAACAGCATTATTGGTAAAACTGTAACATCTTGCAGTGCAGCTGTTTGTATGAAGTAAATTACCTATAAAACAAACATCAATAACTTGAACTAGGTCACAATGCACCACATTGTGTCCTGTACAATGGAAATAATTGTATAATCAAATTTGACTGAAACACAATGTTTCCACTCAAGGTGACATTTTCTGTTATACTTTGTATTGATCTTTGATGTACAGAGAGTTCAAGTTTTACATTGCACACATCTGCATATATAACAAATGAGGTAGCCTATAAATAACTGTGTCCGGCTGTGACAAAGGAGTGGTTGAGAGCAGGATGTCCCCACGGGAACAGTTACACTTAATCAGGCCTAACCTTGTAAATACCCAAATCATCAAGCATCAAGAATACAAGGACATGAATAACTTTATCTAGCTACATTGTAGTGGCATGTAATAAATCAAGGTTGGACCAGTCAAACCAATAATCCACAGCATGATGCTCCCATAAGGGTATGATGACACGATCAAGTCAAACACTGTCACTCAGATCCTACGTTAGATGGTACAGACTTCAATGCGGCGGGGCATACTACTGATAAAAGAAGTAAGAAAGTCGTGGTCCATGCTGTCCCAATATTGGACCACCTCTTCATTCATTTCAGCAATATTTGTCAGATTTTTCTTATTGACAAATTCCTTCATAAGTCCCCAAACATTTTCTATTGGATTTAGGTCAGGGCTATAGCTTGGCCAATCTAATAATGTCATATTTTGGGTCCGAAACCAGGCCTGTGAATGTTTTGAACGATGTTTTGGGTCGTTGTCCTGCTGGAAAATCCAAAACTTTCCATAGAACACGTGAGCAGATGGAAGTAAATGTCCCTCGAGAATATCTGCGTACCGCTCACTGTCCATATTCCCTTCAAATACACAGAGGGGCGTTGCCCCTAACACAGATATGCCACCCCACACGTTAAATTTCGGACTGTACTTTGGGCGCTGATACAAAGGTTTTTCAGTTTGTTTGTCCAGAATTTCAGTGTATTAGGAAACAGCCACACAAAACTTTCATCTGAGAAAATCACATTGTCCCAGTTAAAATTTCTATGCTGTAAGCACCAGTTCAACCTTCGTTCCTTTTGTTCAGGTTTCATGATCGGTGATGGAATTCCTCGACTTTTCTGCCAACCCATTGCATGCAGCTCAGTTCTAATTGTCTCCTTACAGACAGCCACAGTTCCTCTATCAATCATATCCAGCCTTAAGTTTTCTAAACTCCTTCGTTTGTTTTTAGAAACAAGAATACCAAGCCGCCTCCCGTCATCAACAGTCAATTTTCTTGGCCTACCTGGTGCTCAATGCCATATCCATTTGCAATATTTTTCAAAACACGATAAACAGTGGACAAAGGGAAGCCTGTTCTACTTGAAATCACTGTAGTTGATCTGATGTCCTTCAGAGCTCCAGATAAGATTTAGCTCATGTGGGTGTCGTACCCACTGTATATTTTCGGAGTGGGTATTATGAATGTTGAGTTGGTATTTCATTTACCGTTACCCACTGCTTTCAAATATGTGCGTATTTCAGTCATTTTACTCACATAAGTACATTGTCAGTGAGTAAGTTTAATAAGCAGGTATGTTCTGCCTTATGTCATATTTCAAAACCAACTTAAAAATATTGGAAATGATTTCATAAAAAATCACTCACCCTATACTGACAGTACAACACTAGTCCTATACTAACAGTACAACTTGATAGCAATCGATGTCTTTTTCATTACACAAGCGATTTTTATAAATATATTCCGTACGCATTTGTTTTAAACTTTTTGCGTATCTAACATTTTAAATGCGTAATTGGTACGCATCAATTATTTTTCAATGCGAAACTGGAAATTTTCTATACGTCTTTTACCCGGATACGCAGCTTATCTGGGCCTCTGGGCCTTGTTATAATACTCTAAAATCAACTTCCTCTTCTCTAAATCATCCATACTGAGGATCACTGAAAATATCGTCTGCTAGCAAGTAAACAAAGGGGGATAACTCTTCACAAACTAATGAAAAGGATTAACGGAGTTGTCTCTCTTGAATGAACCCAAGCACTTGATAGCTGGTCAAGGTTGTTTATACTAGAAATCCAATTAAACATATTCTCAATAATTCCTGGTCATACTATACAAGTGTTTGCCTGTGTTTTACAGCTATATCACACAGCATGTAATGATTCAAGCCTGGGCCAGACATACCAGTGGAAATCAATGCAGGCAATGTCCAGGCTGTCGTTCTTATGACGACTCAAAATTAGGCAAAATGTTGTAACTCGGATACTAAATGATAAGTGGAACAAGGCTGTGAAGTGTTTGCCCCTTTGTTCCAGTCCTACTGCATGCAATTAATGTTTGTGTGCTGGCGATAGGGTGCCAAAGAAAGGTATGATACTTTTATGGATAACAACTTCTTCAATATATAACATGTGATGTTACAGTATAGATTCTTATACCGTTGTCAAGCAAGAGTAGTACAAGCAAGACAACGGTATAAGAATGAATACCAAAACGTCACACCATAATGTAATAAAGAAGTTGTTATCCATAACAGTATTGTACCTTCCTTACTATTCACCAACTTCTAAAATGCCAATCAAACAGACAAGGTGCCTGCCTGAATGTGTGGGTTCAAATCCCCGGAAGAGACTCAAAATATACTAGAATCTGTAATCCCAAATATAACATATATTACACTTGCCATTATGTATCCATAATTAATCAAGCCCAGACAGAACAATTCAGTGGAGAACAATGTCCATGCTGTCTTGGTATGACAACATGCAATCATTCAAACCACCAAATCTACCAACTCACTGGCACTGGCCAACATAGAGCTACAAAAATATCAAATACTACAACAAACATAATGATTTCATGCTCGACTGAAGACAATCAATACATCTAAAGGTAATGGAAATTACTTACTAATCGAGTGAGTGTAGGTTTTATGCAGCTTTTAGGAATATTCCAGCAATATCAAAGCAGACTTAATTTTAGAATTTTTTTAATTTACAGCAACAAGACAATGAATCTGGAAACATACCTGGCGATTTCACAGTTATTAACATTGAGTCCTCTCTTGGACATGAAGCCAACACCTCTGCCGGCCTCCTTCGACTGGTATGTGTTCAGGTAATGCACATAAGGTTCTTCATCGGTCACCTCGAAATACCGGATCTGACTGTCACCCTGTTGACATAAAACTTTCCAATAACTATCTACAACTATTACCTACACAGGATAACACATCTGGAAAACTATTCATTATGTCTCACTGAGAAAAATACTTCATGCTTCATGCTGACTTCATAATTTATACAGTCAAATCCCGATGAGTCGAATCGCTGGGGACCAAGTAATAAATTCGACTTATCGATGTATTCGAGACATAGGTATGTCTATGAGGGTAGAAAAAAAGATGATCCAGTCCTAATTCCTCCGCCTAAGCATTTGTTTATCTAATGATTCCCATATCACTAATAGAGGCACCTTATCAGTTCCAGTCTGATGAGCACAGACAGTGATTTCCGTAAAATCACTAATCTGACTTTTGAACTCACCTGTCAATGGCGAAAGGTGTCAGTCGAGCTGGTTTGTTAATTGGATCAGTTTGCTACACCAATCAACTTCTCATTGACTGACTTCAGCTTATGTATACAAGATTGCTGTTGTTTGAATTTCATGGGACCAAATTTCCTTCTCGAGTCATCGTGTGTATTTATGAGACGAATTCGTGTAACCGGTATTCAAATGATGACAACTATAACAGGGAATGGTCGGGACCGACAGGTACTTCGAGTTATGCATAATATTCGAGACACCGGCATTCGACTCATCGGGATTGGACTGTACTTATAATGTTTTGTTGGCTGTTTGCAAATCCGAATGTAGCTACTTCAGTTCAATGGAGCAAAGGATTCAACAATACAGTTCACAAACTATATGACATTGTATTGCCGTAAACATATCAAGTCAAATCATGTGGAAACTCATGACTGTACATGTTGGGGATGCCACGATACATCAACACATCGATGCATCGAAACTTTTTCTAAGACGATACAATTATCGATACATTAAAAAACTGTATCGATATTTAGTTTTGAAAGTATCAGTTTAAATATGATAATGTATAGTTTACATTTTGCAATTGTATCATGTTTTTTTGATGTAATGAGAGCTATAAATGATTATTTTTCATGCACAAAGATGGGAAATTAGAACTGTTTAATTTCTGAGAATCAAAAATGTTGATCTTTTCATGGACAATTATGAAATATGAAATATCAATGTTCAAAATGTAACTAAATTTATGTAATAATGTCACGAAGATAGGTATCGTGATACATATCGAATCGTGACATGGGTATCGTGATACGTATCGATTCATGAAACACATGTATCGTGACTTCCCTTGTAGTACATGTTTCAGTGCAACCTCAAAAAGAAAAGCTAGCTGTAGCGGACATATGTCCTAAGGAGCTATTTTGATAAGGTAATTTTGATAAGTTAACTTGAAATTACAATACATTTAGCAATATTGGACAAAAAATGGTAGAGGGTGGTCCCTCGGTTGTTGCTGTTGCTGTTGTTGTTGTTGTTGGTAGTGGTGGTGGTTTCATTGACAATCACCCTCAAACGAGTTCAGGAGTCCTCAAAGAAAAGGCATTGGTGACTACTTCAGAAAACCAACACCTTGTTCTTTTTGTTACATTTTCTAGCCACAGAATGTTCTTGTGTTATACAATTTTCTGTATTTAAATTATCCAACCATGTACATCTTTGAAGTTAAGACAGCAAGCATATTTACCTTTCCACAGAGATAGACCATGTTGACATCAGCATCGTACATGGGGAACATCACTCCATTGCTGTTGTCAAGCTCATTCATTTCCTTTGCCTTACTCAAGTCTTTCTATAAAAAAGATATACACAGAATTAACGGTCTTAAACATCAATATTTACCATGTGTACACAACAGTGTTCAAAATTATCTGAGTCGAGGGATCCCAAGATCCAACCAAGTCAGCGAGCCTGACCTCCTGATCCCATTAGTTGCTCCTTATGAGGTTGGATGGGTTTCCGAATCTTCAAGGGTATCTGTATCAGACTATATTTGATATCATTCGCACAGATCCTTTCAATCAAGGTGCTTCACTGACCCTGACACTATGATCCAATAAGTTGGTTGCTAGAAACTAAATCGAACCTGAAATCCTTCATGGCTGTAACATGTGTGTGTGTTTGTTGTGTAACACTGCGCTTAGCAATATCCCACTTATATGGAGGTGGTTTATAAATAATCAAATCTGGACCTGACAATCCAGTCATCAAAATCATGAACATCAGTCTATGCAATTGGGATAAAATGACAACCGAATCAGTGAATCTGATCCTGTTTGTCATCTCTTAAGACAAGCAAAGGTTGCCGAAGACCTATTCTAATCAGGATCGTCACTGAATATGTATGTGATGGAGCTACTTACCTCATCCCACAATGCATACTGTCTCTCACTCATCCTGGAGAAGCCAGTGGTGAAGATGAGGCCATCCTTGAGGTACACCACCTGTGCAGGCTTGGCTCCAGCATGACCCGGCTCTTCCTACAACATACAGTTTAACTCAGATCTTTGAATGGGTGAGTGAGTGAGTGAGTTTGGTTTTACTCCGCTTTTAGCAATGTTCCAGCAACATCATGGCGGGGGACACCAGAAATGGGCTTCACACACTGTACCCATGTGGGAATTCGAACAAGGGTCTTCGGCGTGACAAGCCAACGCTTTAACCACTAAGCTACCCCACTAACACATTGTACCCATGAGGGGAATCGAACCCGTTTGTTCGGCGTGACAAGGGAATGCCTTAGCCACTAGGCTATCCCACCGCCCTGTCTTTGAATGGCATTTAGAAGTGATACAAATCAGGAACACAGTTTTATGGACTAAGAGTTTTATAACTTCTACAATGTTTCGGAGTATATATACTTCCTCCTTACTCCTTTCAACCTCATTTACTTGGACTCTGTTAATTTATCAAAGCATTTATCAAACTAATTGCCTGTTGCTGAAATTGCTTTTCATATAATATAAAATCAGAATCAGACAACACTTCTCTTCAAGCATGATTGGCAAATTCATAAATATTGATTGGATCATTTACATTTTATAGCAGATAGAATTTGTTTCACATGTTAAAATTATTGCAAAATTATTAGATTTTATCACTAAAATCAGTCATTTCTTGAGTAGCAATCAAATATAAGCATTGCCCTGTTCTGAGCTGCATTTACCTGTAAGCATTCCCCTGATCTTGAGTTGTAGACTCGAAGTTTTTTGTCCTTGCAGGTGCAGGCAAATTTGCTGCCATTAAAGTTAAAGGAAGCAGAGAGTGGCAGATCAGGAAGATCAATCTCTGTGAACACCTCTCCAGTTCCAACATTCCAGATGAAGATCTTGTTGTCCGAACCTGAAAATTACATTACTATTTAAACACCTGGAGTGAGTGAGTGAGTGAGGTTTTTTATTGCTGCAGTTATTATCCAGCAATATGACAGCAAGGTACACCAGAAAATGGCTTCACACATTGCACCCATGTGGGCAGTCAAACCCTGGTCTTCGGTGTGATAAGCAGGTATTTTAACAATTAGGCTACCCAATCACCCGAATTGATAATAATTTGAAATACTGCATGAACCAATTTAATAATAAAAACAGTTTAAAAATATTTGACCTATCCTCTTATTTGATGGATATGTTACCTAAAAAGCTAGGATTCGCATCTAGCCATGAAAAAATTTCTTGTTTCTTTTGACAGCTCACCAACAAAATTGCAATTCCCCTCAATAGTTCATTTCCAGGGTGAGTGAGTGAGTGAGTGAGTGAGTGAGTGAGTGAGTGAGTGAGTGATTTGAGTTTTACGCCACACTCAGCAATATTCCAGCTATATGGCGGCGGTCTGTAAATAATCGAGTCTGGATCAGATAATCCAGTGATCAACAGCATGAGCATCGATCTGCGCAATTGGGAACCAATGACATGTGTCAACCAAGTCAGCGAGCCTGACCAGCCGATCCTGTTAGTCACCTCTTACGACAAGCATAGTCGCCTTTTGTGGCAAGCATGGGTTGCTAAAGACCTATTCTAGCCCGGATCTAATAGATTTTAGCAAAAATGAATGTTCTTAAACTGAGAGTAGTGAATCAAACTATAGGCACTATGTATAATGTACGTCATTCATTGTATTAGATTTGCATGGGAGGCTTGCTGTTGACATCAGAACTTAAGACCTCATTCTCTACATTGCAGTGAGGCTAAGAGGTGTCATTGTACATCAAAGGCCTGAAAGATTTCTCACATACCCAAAATACACAAAAGAAAAGAACAGGAAAAAAAACAAATAAAGAAACAAAATATATATTAAACTGTCAATCAAGTAGGACTGTGTATTGGCAAATATGTAATTTTTAGAGTAAAATTGATATTTTATACTTATCCTGACTCATGCTCTTTTGCTTGTCTTCTTCTTCTTGCTAACATAGTGGAACACTTGTATCTCCTTATTTGAAGCTCCCTTCAAAATAAAATCACTAATTGGTACTCACCACGAGTTGCTCCCCTTTGTCTCCCCTGGCGGGAAAAGGTGTCGCCACCCTCTGGCCATGTGCTCCACTCTCTCCTGATTTAGCGAGCCCAACACTTGAATTTACAGGGAAATCCAAAGTGTTATGTGGGGAGGATGGGAGGGCTAACCTCATGAGTCAGGATAAGTATAAAATATCAATTTTACTCTAAAATTACATATTTTCCTTATCCTGACTCATGCTCTTTGTTTGTAGCATCCTAATGGAACGGAGGTGGGTAACAGAATACTTTGGATTTATAATTAGTGATTTTGTATAGATATACTGTAATATCCCCTACGGGAACTTCATGAAGTCTTAGATTTAGGATGTATCCTGTATAAAGAAAACCATAGGTTATATAAAGCCATTAAAGGGGAATTACATTATGAATATATTGAACAATACATATAAATTATATATATATATATATAGGTGACTCTGATAGAGGCACTGAAATTGACTATATCCAAGTATATGCTTAAGGTAGAATACTTAAGCTGAACATATATACATAGCCCTAAAACTCCTTAGAGTTATAAGCTAGATGAGTATGTATAAAATACATATTAATCTTGTGAGGCTAATATTTTAACGCCTACGAGGGACTGTCAGTTGCTGAGCGAGGACCAGTGGTCCGAAATGGTGAATGCCAGAGACATCTTCTGTAGTGATGTCTCTTAGGTAGTGATTAGCAAATACCATGTTAGATTTCCAATAGCATCCTTCCATAATCGTGTTCAAGGAACAGTTACCGTAGTAGGGCGAGGGTAGAGGCCAGTGCCCTGATCTCATGTGGATTTGATGCTGTTGGTGGGTCCAAGCCTGCTGCCTTGTAGGCACGGAGAATGACAGTCCTTATCCAAATAGATATTGTGGTCCGTGACACTTCTGTTTGATTCAGAGGCGATAATGGGATGAATAAACGTTTGAGAAATCTTCTCCTTGTTTTGGATCGTAAGTAAATAAACTTTGAGCTCTTACCGGACACAGTGATAGGTCTTGTGTATCTTGTGATCCGAGAATAGAGGATAGCCGGGATGTGGAATAATCTGTCTGGTTGACCTGGCAGTTGATTCTTTGCAATGAAATCCCATCTTAATCCGAGGTGCGCTGCGTTATGATTGTCATCAAACTGTATCCTCCTCGTAATCCAGAGCGTGAATTTCAGACATTCTTGCTGCTGTGGCTAGCGATAGCAGAAACAATGTTTTCTGTGAGAGAAATTCAAAGTTTGTCGATTCCAAGGGTTCATAGACCTCACTCGTGAGGTGTTGTAACACTACATTCAGATCCCAAGCTGGGCGTGGAACTTCCGCTTTTGGTCCTCCAATCGAAAGCTCGTAGTAAGGCCAGTAACTCTGGAGATCTTGTCAATTTGACACCCGTTCTCATGGTGATTACAGAGCTAAGCGGCAAGATATGTTGATATCGTTGAACCTTTTAAATGTTTGTTTTGGCGTAGGTAACACAAATAGTCTGCCACTTGAGGTTGTGAAGCCTCTCTTGCTGTAAACCCTTTCTTTGTTGCATAATTTTCGAAACTGTGCCACTTGTCGCCGTACAAATTCACGAGTTGAGTAACGTGAAGGCAAGCGTGACTGCTTTTGCCGCCCTGGCAGAATATCCTCTCTTGTTTAAACACATTTGTATACAGTCCATACGCGTGTAGTTGGAACATTGCTGGGTTTCCGTGCACTTGTTTGGTGTGAGGATGAATTAACAGGTTTGCGGCTTTGGGTAGCTCCAGTGTTGGTTGACCGATTTCTTGAATTAGGTATGGAAACCCACGTTCTGGCCGCCAGTAGGGCGACCAAAGTGAGTTGTAGGCTCTGTGTTTGTCTGATTTTCTGTAATACTTGAGGTATTATTGCTGGCGCGAAAGCATGACGCATTGAGGCCTTCCATGATAGACTTAGAGCCGCCCGTTGCCCAAGCTTGGGGGTCTGGGACTGGTGACAACGAATGTGGTAGCTGATTGTTGAATCGCGCGCATTGAATAGGTCTATTAGCGGCCCTAATTGCTTGATTATCTGTGCAAAAATTTCCGGTTGATCATCCACTCTGTCGGTGATGGTAGATGAGGGCGAGAGAGCCGCCTGCTAGTATATTTCTGGCTCCGGAATGTGCACTGCTTTGACATGTAGATTTAGATCTTGTATTAAACCGAACAGTTGAAAAGTTTAGGTTCAAAAGGTTCATCGATCTCGTTGAGCCTTGCTTGTTTATGTAGAACGCCACTGTCGAATTGTCTGTATGGATCATTAGGCCGGCGATTTTGTAGAAATGTGCTCCAATGTAGAATGGCGTTGATTACAGCTTTCATTTCTAGACTGTTTATATGGAGTTTGCATTCTTGCTGATTCCATAACCCTGATATCGTGTGGTTGGTGAGATGAGCTCCCCAACTTGGAGTGACGCTATCTACATACAGATGGGTTTTGTATTCCTGCTCTGCTAAACAAATCCCTTCGCGAGACATTCGATTTCTTGGTCCACCATAGTAGATGTGGTCTGAGATGTTTCGGTAGACTGAATGGTTGTACATCGTTGAGATGTCGCGTTGATGAGACCTGTAGGGGACGTAACTGTAATCTGCCTGTGACAGTCATGTCTTGGGCTGATGTGAGAAGACCTAGTAGGCTCTGCCATTGTCGCGAGTGGTAGCGGAGAGAGTAGAGCTGGTGGAATGGTCTGTTGTATCTTGAGCCCACGGTCTTCTGGTACCATAATACGGTTGCGATTTGTGATGAATCGAATACCTAGGAACTGTAGGTCTTGCGATGGTACTAGGTCCGACTTGCGTAAGTTTACTAACCAACCTAGTTGTGTTAGTAGCTTATGATGATGTAATTTAACTGTAGTTTGAGACGCAGTGGATCTTGATCTACTTGTATCCCCGTCGTCGAGGTAAAACGCACTCGCGTAGCCCTTGGACGATGTAGAAATTTGATAATCGGTTTCGTTATCCTCGTGAATAGCCAGGGGCTGATGATATTCGAATGGGAGTACTTTCCACTGGTAATGTAGCCCTTCTAGAAGTAAATCGTAGGTATTTCCTGGAATCGGGATGAATGGGGATGTGCAAGTAGGCATCCTGTAGATCTATGCTGCCCATGTAGTCCATAGGACGAATCATCTGGCGTAACTGAGGTAAATGTATCATCGCGAAACTTCGGTGGTTTGCGTAAATAGTTCTTGTTGAAAAAGCTCATGTTGTAGATGAGTCTGTATTTCTCCGTGGAGTTTTCTTGGGAACTAGGAAAACTGGGGAGTAGAAACCTGGTTCGACGTTTGCTTGATCTATTACTTCTATGGCCTGTTTGGATAGGAGTGATGAGACAGCCTCTTTTATCTTTGGTAGTTGTTGCTTTGTAAATCGAACTTGGGGGTTTGATTGTCAGCGGAGGCTTGTCCTGTAGAGGGATCTGAAATCCGTGTTGAATAATGTTGGAGGCGTAAGGATCTTGCAGTATTCCCCAGTTTTCCCAGTGTAGTTGGAGGCGCCCACCCACTTGAGGCTGGTTGTACTGGAACGGCTGGGGGTGGAAGACTCCAGTCGTTCGAACCTGTGTTTCAGCGTCTATAATTGCGGGAACCTCTGGGTGTCCTGCCTCTTCCTGATCCTCCTCTATAGTTGCCATATGGGCGTGAAAAGAATCTTTACCTCTAGAGCTGGCTATCTTCCTGTCTCTTGCTCTTTGTAGGCCCGTGAACTTAGATCTGCCTGAGTATCTTTGTGAAGTTCTGGCGAATGACGCTGGCTAGTGTGTCCATCGATCTAATCATAAGGACTTCCCTGGAATCCTTAGAGACTTCCCCTTGGCGACCTTGTCGATTTCTCCGTCAAAGATGGATGTTGTCGACCACGGGGCTGTATAAAGTGGGGCTGTAAAGTTCTCCCCAATTACAGGAGGCGAGGAGGCCTTGACGACGAAAGCTAAGGTCAGTGCTGCTGAAACAGATGTAAGATGATCCGTTAAAAACTGCTGATCTTTCTTTTGCATAAGTAAGGCAGAATAAATCATTCTATCATCTTCCGTCGTGGAATCCCCGAATCTAGTAATAAGAGTCTCATTGATGCGTCCTAGATCTATTTAACCCAAAGAACATCACGTCTCGTCATGGTTTCTATATGAGCCAACTTGCGATCATCCATCTTGTAAATCTTGTTCTTTACATCGCTGATGATCTTATAGTTCCTCATCGATGTCCTGGGCCTTGTAGAAGGAGTCCATGTTATCGTGGAGAACTTCTTGGCTTGAAAGTTGGGTAGATGTGGTATCTGAACTTTTCAGTAGCTTTCTGGAAAGCTGCATCTAGATTCTGTGGCACTGCCGTCTAATCGGGTCGATCGGGGTAGAGTGATTGCATCTGGATCATCTTCCTTCATCAAATACGTCTGAGCTGTATTGCCACTTTTAGATGGTGATGTGAGATCTAGGTTATTGACCATCCAATACCGTATTCTGCATCAGAAAATATGATTCCTCCATCATCCTCAAAACCATCATCATTAATAAATTGTAGATGCTCTTCGGGACTCGCGTGGTAGCTATCTGAATATCTGATGAGGTTTGTGGCGATCTAGTTGACTTGTCGCGCCCGCTCTATGTGGAGATCTGATGGGTGATCGACCTGGTGATGAAGCGGAGTGGAGATCGCCTATGGGATGATCTTCGGAGACTTGTGAGGTGAATGTTGATAACCCGCTGGCTCTTCGGCAGTCCCTCGATGTTCTTCTAGACGATGAAGATCTGGAATCATATGTCTTTTCGCGAATGCCTTCGGCTTCATTTGCGTCCGGTCCGGGGATCGATGATATGACCTTCGCGAAGGCTTCCGTGATGTCTGATGGTCTGAGTCCATATCTAGAGATGAAATCGAAGATGGTGATGATCTCTCCCGCCAAGGCCTTCGGCGAAGCTGCTGTACATCTAGGTCCTTCGGCCAAGGTGGTGCGGGACTTCCTTGGCGAAGGTGACATCGTCTTGGCTGCTTACGTTGACGGGGGTGCCTCTGGGGTGCTGTTCACGTTTGGAGCCTTCGCTGGTTGCTCGGACTGCTTGGCGCAGTTTGTAGTGGTCCTCCATGATGTTCATATCTGCCGCGATCATGTCTTCTGGGATGATCTCAGACGAAGTCGCCGGGCGTCTTTTCTGCGATGGGGTTCACATCAATGGCGTCTGGCGTCGGTGTAGAGGCATCAGGCTGCATGGAGATCTCTGCAGAAGTCACAGTCGCTGACACCGGTCGCTTCTTCTGCCGTAAGTCAGGGGATGATTATCTCGGCTGATCATCGTAGAGGCCCAACTCTGCTGCTGGAGCGATCTCGCGGAGAAAGTTCTTGCTGTCTTCGTGAGATTTCCCTTTGGAAGTCTGCGCTGCCCTGGTGTCCCTCAATCTATGCGTTGAGACGATCGATGAGGCCCTCTTAGACTTAGTCTGCAATGACGGGATGTCTGGGGAGGCCGGTCGTTTTTTCGAGGTAACGGACTGCGTCCCACGTTCCTCTGCCGCAGGGGTCTCTAGCAGAACACCAGACGGGAGAGGGTCGATCGCTAGCAGCTGACTGGAAGGAATATCTGGACTCTCTGCCATGTTTTGCCCTTGTTTGCGTGATCTATCTGCAGCACGTCTTAAGACGCAAAGATGATATTTATTAAATGCAGAATGAGATAAATTAATGCAGTAACTGCAACGTGAATTAAACGCTGCACGGGCGAGAACAACTAGGGCATATTACATGTGGATCGGAGGCAGAAAAACGTAATCTACAAATCGCACAGATTTTCATGAACGTAAAGCTTAGCTGAACAATCACGAATACACATTGAATAAACAGTAGAAATAACGACAATTAATCAATACAAATAGTAAAGGATACTAGCTATACCTCTATAGTAACCTATGAGAGGTAAAAACTAAGAGATTATCAAAGGATATGTGTGTAAGGAGACACAAGGCGCTCTCACATCCTGCTCACTGGGCGAAGAAGGAGAGAGTGAAGCACATGGCCAGAGGGTGGCGACACCTTTTCCCGCCAGGGGAGACAAAGGGGAGCAACTCGTGGTGAGTACCAATTAGTGATTTTATTTTGAAGGGAGCTTCAAATAAGGAGATACAAGTGTTCCACTATGTTCGCAAGAAGAAGAAGACAAGCAAAAGAGCATGAGTCAGGATAAGGAAAAATAAACTGTTTTGGTATCTATTGCAATACAGGTATCTGTATTGTGATATGTATTGAAATATTTTAAATAGTTAAAGTGTTTGACAGTGAGTGGAAATAATTGTACATGTGGACCCTTTTCACTACATACAAGGCTCTAAACACAAGTGATATGGTTTTGATAACATCAATCTTAAAATCAGGTTGGACAGTTAGGGATGCTTTCCTTTCAATTTTATACCATTCATAGTATATAGTATATATATAAAGTGTATCATTTAGTCAATTAATTACGAAGGGAAATATCATAGGTGAATGTCTGAGTATATTTTTACTTACACCATAGAGATTATTAAAAAACTGTTTATATTTCTTACCAATATACAGGTTCTCAGAAGAAATATTATAATACGAATAATTCTAAAAAGTGTATTTTGGTAACAAATATACCAGTTATACTGTGCAGTCCTACATACAACAATATCATTCTTAACTGATCTAAGTGAAACTGTTTGACACCTTACCTGCACTGAGCAGCACATTGTGTGCAGTCGGGTGCCACTTAACACAGCTGACCCTACGCTGGTGGGCTACTAAGTCGACTACTGGCTCAGTCAGAGGCTTTGTGAGACCACCCTCAGGTATCTGCCAGATCTTGATAGTACAATCCTCAGATGCACTGGCAATGACATCATCATTGTGGGGACACCAGGATATATCCAGCACAGCCGCCTTGTGACCAGCAACGAGAGGACTGTCTCTTTCTACCCTACCCACCTGAAACAATAAGGATTGCAATCATTCAACGTGAAGGTGAAGTACATGACTGACTGCTCATAATGATGACCAAACCCTTTATCTACTAATCCTGTCTGTCAAAATAACGTCTGCAGAAACATCTTAGAGCATGTGCTTTGTGATGTGGAACATAGCACTATATAATGCATCATCATAATCATGATCATCATCAGGGGTGGTGGGGTGGCTTAGTGGTTAAAGCGTTTGTTCATCACGCCAAAGGCCTGGGTTCGATTCCCCAAATGGTTGCAATGTGTGAAGCCCATTTCTGGTGTTCTGGTGTATCTAAACCCTAAATGCCTTGTCAAATAACCATTTGTAAATGAACGAGAGATGCTCACAAGTGGCCAATTCTTCATTGTCATCCATGACAGCACCGAAACAAACGTGGCATACTTATACATCTCCAATTAAATACATCACTGCAAATATATGCTGACAGGAGATAAAATTGAATGAAGTCAAAAGGAAAGTCCTGGTAGACACAGGAATAGCTTATATCAAACATGGTAAATATTTTGGCAACTTTCAGGCTAACTTTTGATAATATTAACAGTTTTAATTTCAAAATCTTAAAATTAAAATTATAAGAAAATATCATTATGTCTAAATATGGCTGAGATTATTTGGAAGTACTTTTTATTAAAGTCTTTGAACAGCATTTAGAAAAGGTGAGAATTTAGAGATGTCAACTTCTTTCCTGTGAACTTCATATAGGTAATGCAAAGTCTCTTATGTATAAATCTTTATTCCATTGAAGTGAACAATAGACAATGATTTTGAGGGAATCAGTTTACAACCCATAACTCTCCTTCAGAAATCCCGTTTTTTAAGGTTGCATTATCACCTGATGAATAAAGTGGCGCTCTGACTGGTGGCATAAAAGGGCTTTTTGATGTCACGTGTATCATAATGTTCTCAGATTGTTGTGAAGAGGTAGCAAGCACTTAGATCTAATTTCAACGAGGCTTGAATATTGCAGTGGGAATATGCAAACTGTAGTGGGAAACAGCAAATGTTGCAATAACCTGGTCTGACAATGAATGGGGTTGAAGTAATGTCCTGTTACTGATATGAATAAGAAAGTCTCCTGGTGTGTTGGTTTCACTTTCAGATTGTATTCAAGTCACAGGAAACTTCCTCAAGGATGTTCCCTCAAGTACTGCTATATGCTTTTTAATCTTTTGGAGTTTAACATCAGTTATCACTTAAATAATAAACATGATTATGGCGACAATATTTCAGCTTTATTAACTCATTGAAATTGCAAGCTTAAACAAATGACTAGTAACTCAATATTAATAAGTGGCGTACAGTATGTGTTACTAATTGTATAACTCGTCTGAATTGCTGTCATTTATTTCACTTATATTGATGGACTTCGGTTCAAAATATAGTAATGACTGCACCGAAATTGTTTTGTTTGCCTTTGGCTACATCAGGTGTAATTATCAACAACTTGATTATAGTCAGTCAGCAAGAAAGCATTCATTTACACCTCTTAATTCAGCATTATTATTAGCTTCACACATAGAGCCTATAAATAGAATATAACCATTAAACACTTAAAGTCTTGGGTATCAACTGATACATAAATAAACATAAATAGTGCCTATTTATCTTTACAATACAATTGTCATATTTATGTAAAACGTTTATGAAACTATTTAGTAAAAAGCAAACAAGTTCAGTATGGGATGCTGTAATTTGAACAATGTTGAACAGTTGCATATTTACATTTTTTCAAAAACTTAAAACTTGCAACAACTGCCATGTTCACATTTTAACTACCAGGGCCCAGTACCACAAGGCTACTTTAGTGCCAAGACTGCAGCAAGTCGATGAATGTGTGGAAGTTACAATCATCCCTGATTCACAAAAGCGATCTGAGTCCCCAGTGAAAGTCTTTATTAAAGACTGGGAGTCTTGATGGTCATCACCAACATAGCATTGCGATGTTTGTCAATACAGACACTGCTAATTTTGTGTAGAGATTAAGTATGTTATTACAAATCAAATGGGTAACTTTAAAGTTATGACTGATGATGTACATATTGATAATATAGATCATCATTACCCTTATGTGCTAATCATATTGAAAAGGTTTCGTTTGTTTGTTGTTAAACACTGCACTCAGCAATATTCTAGCTACATGGCTGTGGAAATAATAAAGTCTGGACAAGACAATCTAGTGATCAACAGCAATAGCATCGATTTACACAATTGGGAGATTTATGAGTCAAATGACATGTGTCAACCAAGTCAGCGAGTCTGACCAGCCGATCATGGTTCTCACCTCACAACAAACATGGCTTTATGGGATACACAGAAAAGGGGCCATAATTACTGACAACCGAGGAAACTGGAGTTACAGTCTTCCTTAGACACAGTTTACAGTATCACATGAATCTAAAGCCTATAGCACCTCTGCTAACGCAATGTACTCGTCAAATATCAATCACGATACCAAGCTGACAAAAACCTATGTAGTTCATGCATGCTTGTTTTTTCTGCAGACACCCACACAATACAGAATAACTGTACACACTTGCTGTGACCTAGTTACAGATACAGTAGTGCAGGTCAGCATCACAGTCCCTGAACCACATTATTTTCCATACTGCCTACCCCTCCCTGCAATGCATACCGCCAAAATGAAGTAAGTCTAGATTTCCTTAGGTTCAGGATCTCCCAACTCACAGGTGCTCCTTTTCAATTTAAATGTTTTTTGTTACTATCAAAATTATATGTAGTCAGGGACTAAGCCTTAGTCTAGTCAGCATCATTGCCTCCATTGACGTAACTCGATACAATTACGACCAGTCACTACCCCTGCTGTAAACCACGTGTAACAAACATTGTGTATAATTTTTTAATGGACTAGTAACAGCATACAGTTACTATCCCTGCATAGTATGTCACTATCACAGACTCAAACCAAGAGTAACAAATATTGTGTTAAATATTTACTGGACTAGTAACTGGATACAGTTACTACCAGCCAGCATCCCTGCCTACAAACGCCTGCAGTAAACACTTAGTAATTAGCCAGGTTATGACTCATAGCTTCACTGGCTGCAGCAGTACTAACAATAGACAAGTCTCCACTTAATTCTCCCGCCTCCTCAAGTCCATCTGCTGCAACTACTAGAGCTGTCTTCATCATCAAGTGACCCGCACAGCTAGATACTGATCTGTGTAATGGAGTGAATAGTGCTTCTTGACATCTTGCTGCCATTTGCAACATAAATGAAAGTTTGAAAATCTTTTTATTCACGAAGCTTCAATTTTGGATGACTAATATTTAGTCTCAAATGAATTGTTTTTCATTTGATGATACATAATTCTGATGAAATAACAGATCCAAGGGATTTTTTATCTTTTCAAATTCAGAGAAACAGGAGAAATCCAGACTTACTCAACAAAGGGTCTGTTGGACGTAGACACTTTTAAATACAGAGATACAAGATGACACACTTTTAATTTATTGCCTCAGAATAGTTTGTCTCAAATTTGCTTATCATATACTTAGTACTTAAGATTTGTATGTTAGATAACCTGGTTTATCACACTTGAACAGGGCATGGTAACCCGGGTTATCAAACACTTCAACGGGGCAATGTGATCAGGGTATGGTTGGCTAAAAGACCGATAATCGGAAATACTGTTGATAGAAAAAATACATTAAAGATTATCGATATGAAAATAGTGTCATTGATAATATCGCACATGAACTTTTGTGATAGGATAAAGGTTTGATTTACCCACACAACACACAAAGTTAGGTTTTTAATCATAGGCCGCATCTAAATTATGTTCAGGGGCGCTATTTTGTTAGTAACCCATGCATAAACATGTTTATATTAATTTCCATCAGGCACTTTTTGCTCAATGTTACTTCTCCCATAATTATCGATAATTGATTGATATTTAGTTAACTATTATTAATCACTATGGTCTGTAAATAACTGAATCTGGACCAGACAATCCAGTAATCAACATCATGAGCATCGATCTACACAACTGGGACGCAATGACATGCATCAACCAAGTCAGCAAGTCTGACCACCCGATCCCATTAGTTGCTTCTTACGACAAGCTAGGGTTGCTGAAGACCAATTCTAACACAGATCTTGACGGGTCCCCAGACCAGTGTATTTTTCTTCATTTCCTAAAACCTCAAGTTGCATCACATCTCAGTGATACTGACACTATTGAGTCACTATGAGGAAGATCACTCAAAATGTGTGTCAGTAGGCCAAGTACTTCTAACAACTAACTTAAAATCTATAAACAGCTTGACAATGTCAATATCACCATGTTTATAAAAGTCTACTGACTGAACTTGGGTAATGTCAACATTTGAAAAAACATTTGACATCAACATGTTCATCTAAAAATATTAAGCTACAGTGACATTTTGACTGTTTCCCACTTACAGTTACAACACAAATGAGTGAGCGAGCATTTTTTGTTACGCCGGATTGGGAAATTCAACATGATCATGGTTTCTAAAGGCACATTAGTTATTATCAAGACATCTGTAAGACCTGATCTACATTCAACAACTTTCAAAGGCTTCAAAACTGAGAACTTTTCAACATGTTACAAGCAACACCTGATACGAATTCATCTATATAGATAATATCTAAAACTATTTAGCATCTCAATTACATGCTTCAGTCATTTTGACCAATTCAGGATGACCTTTGGCTGAATGAAAAGTAAATGCCAGGGCTTAGTTCCAAGAAGTCATGACACGTATATGTCTCTATCACTTAACTGCTGCTATCTATAAGTATATGACACTAATCCAGCTGTAATCCCAACTGTATTGCACACTGACCATCAGCTATCCTGAATAAGCTGTGGACCTTTGTCACTCAACAACTGTTGTTAGGTCCAATAATAAAAATGTTGTGGTTTCGATTAGACCTTTTCCAATTAAATTTAGGGTAGGTAGGTCGGAATAATTTTTG